CCGGAAGCGTGAGGGGAGGGGAGCCAGGTTCTTAGGGGGAGGGGGAGGGAGGGGGCGCGGAGGAAACTTTGTTACAACATGGAGTTTCCTCCCCGCGAGGCGGATGCAAACATGGAACCCGGGCGCCGTTTCAAGGCTCCCCCTTAAAAGGGCAACGGCTTCGGCGTGACCTGGACTCGGCCGCGGCTTTCATCACTTCTGGGGCCGGCGTGGCTTGGCGGGCGAGGAGGCGGGCCCGGAGGGGTTCCTGCCGCGCTCAGGGGGCGTCGCCTCCCTTCTTGTCGCCCGCCTGCGGGGAGCCTCTGCGACTGCGTGGCAGGACCTACACCCGGCCCGCCGTTGCAGGCCGCCCAGCGCAGGGGCCCAGGGCCCGCCCTGCGGGCTGGGATCGCCCACGCCGAGGAGAGTCGGAGGTCCGCGCGGCTCCACCTCTACGCATTCCGAGAGCCCACGACTAGCCTCTTCTCGGTTTTCTCATCAGGGAAATGAGGATAACGCTATCTGGTTTGCAAAATGGGTCTTCTCTCCGACAGTCGCAGGGGCCACCTTACGAGATGTCGTGAGCAATCAGTGGCTCTTTGCTCCCTCCAAACAGCTGTGCAGATCCACACAGTTATACTGTGGACTGGACTGTGACCGTCGCCACCCACCGCAGTCTCGAGACCAGGTGACCCGAATTCGTAGGGCGTGAAAATCCCAATTTCCTGCCCCAGTATGCCCCCTGCCGACCTCTCGCAACTGCCCCGCCTGGCGCCCCGCACGTCAGCCCGGATGCCCACGCCGGCCACCTGGCGTTCCCGCCGCGAGCCTTCATCCGCTATTCCCTCGGCCCGGAACGCGCCGCCTTCCCGTTCGCGGAGCCAAATCCCACAGACCTCGATGAAATGCCAGTTTCCAAGAGGCCTTCCCACACCCTCCTCTACTCCCAGGCCGGCCACTCAGTGATTATTGCGCGGGTGTGGGTTAACGGCACCCGCATAAAGCGGGCGCTCAATCCCCGCGGGCCCAGTGCGCGACCGTAGAGCCTCAGACAGCTACTCCTTGGAGGCTTTTAAACATCGGTTCCGTCCGCGTCCATGCAGACACGCCCTGGTCGGCGCGGGGGCCGCGTCCACGCGGATTCTTCACGAGGGAAACTCCCGTATTTTGCGCCGTGATGGCTGCGGGTGGGC